CGATGGATGGGCGAAAATGAATACAGGCAAGGATAAAGAGTAATAATTTATTGAAACGTCAAAGCTTCCGCACTTCGCGCGGGGGCGAATCGCAATCAGACAAAGACACGATACAACGAATCGTCTTCTTTCTTTAATAATCTAATGAAACGTCAGAGCTTCCGCGCTACGCGCGGAGGAAAGGGAACTGGAGTCGGAATGGTAAATGAAATCGCCTTCTTACTTTAATAATCTAATGAAACGTCAGAGCTTCCGCGCTATGCGCGAAGGAAGGGCAACTTGATTCAAATAAGGATTAAGAGTCGAGAATGGTCTAACGAATCGTCTTTTTTCTCTAATAACTTAATTAAACGTCAAAACTTCCGCGCTTCGCGGAAAGGGGGGAAACTCCCCCCTACCTGCACCCAACCCCCTAGGGAACGCGCTTCGCGCGCTCTGTAAGTGATTTGCACGTTTCGCGTGGTCACTACCGCCCCCCTAAAATGAAATCCTGGCTACGCGCTTGGGGAGGGGTGCAACTTGCCACACGCTTCTACCTTTTGATTGCTTTGATCCATTGCCGAAAATATTTTGGCACCTATCATCCCCCCTAACCACGGATACAAATCGACACCCTTAAACATACCAATACTAGTAATATGAAATTAATATGAAACAAGTTATTTGTAGAATGAGGAATGATAGCCCCTTTATTGTTATGTGAACTTCCACAAATTTCCTTATTGACCATTTAGTATTTTCTGTCGACCGATCGTTAGAGCGAATTAAACGATGATTTTGTATATTGTATTGTACATTTATTCACCTTCCCCATTTCTATTTTTATTTCTTTTTCTATTTCTATTTCTATTTCTGTTTCTATTTCTGTTTCTATTTCTATTTCTATTTCTATTTCTATTTCTATTTCTATTTATATTTATATTTCTATTTCTATTTCTATTCTATTCTATTTTATTATTAGTTTACTTCTTAAAACAAGAAATTGTTGTTGTTCTTGTACAGGTGATCTGTGTTCAACAAGCTGTGCTTTTTTACAGACCAGCTGTTTTGCACACTTTCAAAGACTTTAAAACTTTTCTTGTTATTTTTCATGAATTTATTCTTGTTGACGATGAACTTGTTGTTACTGTTCATGAATGCATTGTTTTTATGTCAGTGGAAAGAAATAGATAAATCTTGAATCTTGAATCTCTTCTCCTCTCCCTCTGATCTCACACCCCGACTCTCTCTCTCTCTCTCACTCGCTCTCTCTCTTCCTCTCTCCCTCCCTCCCCCTCTCCCTCTCTCTCTCTCTCTCTCTCTCCCCCTCTATCCCTCTCTCTTTCTCCCTCCCTCTCTCTCTATGTGCCCATATTCCCTTTATATATATATTTTCTTTCATCTATTCTTCCCATTCACTCATCTATCTGTATCCATGTCTCTCCCTCTCTCTCTCTCTCTCTTTTATTTGCAGCTTGTGAATCTGATCAAATCGAGAATGACGGGTCGTGTTATTATTTCTCAGAAAGCAAGTCAAATTTCGCCTCGTCAAAGTCGTTCTGCGAGGAAATTGGAATGCATCTTGTCTACATAGGATCTCAGGAAGAACAAACCTTCTTGCAGAATAGTCTATCTGCTAATGAGAATCATTGGATAGGTTTATCCCAACTTACCTGGATAGATGGCTCAAGCTTGGACTACAACAACTTTGCAAAAACTGAAAGCAGCAACGTTATATATAGTCCTGTCTTCGATGATGGAGGAATCTGTTTCCGGATGGAAAGAGATTACAATTATTTATGGTATTACGACAGCTGTTCCAAGTCGTACTATTACATTTGTGAAAACGAAATAGAAGACAGTGCCGGTAAGTACAGAATATTGATTAGAAACTCATTGATTTTCTGCTCGTTGAGGGTCTTCATTTTTTAAGATTTTTAAATTGCAATTTTTTTTTCTTCTACCGAAATGAAATCATTACACTTATTTATACAAAATCATTCATAATCATCACTGCATGAGCACAGTAGAGCTTGAAAATGTGAATATAATATACTCCTTTTCATAATTATTTCCTCTTGCAGCTTGTACCAGTGGCCACACTGAAAATGGCGGATCCTGTTATTACTTCTCGCAAAGCAAGTCAAATTTCGCCTCGTTAAAGTCATCATGTGACGACCTTGGAATGCATCTTGTCTACATCGGATCACAGGACGAACAAGAATTTCTGGTGTACAACCTACCGTTTGCAAACGAGGATTACTGGATAGGATTATCCAGTGTGACTTGGCTGGACGGTTCGAGCCTGACCTACTCCAACTTCGGAGATAATTCACAGATTCTCGACCAAGGAGGGATGTGTTTCGCTGTACACCGACATAATCCATACCAATGGTCTGATTACGATTGTGATAACAAGCGCTATTATATCTGCGAGAAAGAAGGAGGTGAATATATACTGATGATCCATACCAGTTTTAATAATATCAGTCGAATTTATTTCAATTTTCATGGTTTTTCACGTGTTTTTTTCCAAGGATCTAAAGAAAAGTACTTTATTTAATGCATCCCTGATATAGCTGTTTTGGATTTTACGACGGATATTCCTTTCCCGCCGTGCAAGTCATTGATGATAAAACATTCCTTTACCCACAAATTATCCTTGTAACGAAAATGTTTTGTGTCTAATCTTCATATTCTATGTTGAGATACGTCATCCTTTCCATTACAACTATCTCGCTTTTTACCATAACGTCAACAGGTATCCAATCAAGTTCTGTACAGCAAACAACATCAGGCGCTGCCACCTCTCTTGAAGGTTCAACCCAAACCACACCAAATCAAATGACGTCATCCGAAACGTCCAGTTCCACTACTCAGACTGACAATACTGTAACAACGAGTAGCTCTACGCAACCTTCGTCAACAACCGATGATGCGATCAGTAAGACAACAAGCAGTCCAGCATCAGCAACACCAACACCACATGCATCATCAACATCAACAACAGGGCAAGGATTAACAGATGTTGCTGCGCCTACTTCTAAACAGGCAACCGATACCACTCCTGCAACAACGGCCACGGAAACAGCTCAGACAATGTCTGCGACTACACGTCGGTCCTCTTCTCGGGACAGAGGTAATTGAAATTGTTTGTTTGTGTTATACGTGGTGGCCTCTCCCATCCCCCACTTGCACAAGTGGGTTATGTCTGCATCACACAAGGCGTTGTTTCGATCTTTTTATTCACCTATACTACGCTAATAAAAACATAATGCTTGCATTAGCTTTACGGTGTCACTGACGCATGGCGCGTCAAATAACAACCAGATCAATGACGCATGACGGGTCAAATACCAAACAGATCACTGACGCATGGCGCGTCAAATAACAAACAGATCACTGACGCATGGCGCGTCAAATACCAAACAGATCACTGACGCATGGCGCGTCAAATAACAAACAGATCACTGACGCATGGCGCGTCAAATACCAAACAGATCACTGACGCATGGCGCGTCAAATACCAAACAGATCACTGACGCATGGTGCGTCAAATACCAAACAGATCACTGACGCATGACGCGCCAAATACCAAACAGATCACTGACGCAGTAACACGTGTGGAAAATAACGCTTCGTGTGTCAATCTGTTACATTACAACTACACTCTAAACAAATATTGGGCAAAAAATTGCCCAATTTTTACCCAACATGATGGCGATTAGATGCTGCTTGTAAGTGTCGGCTTGCATGGTGATGTAGATATACAGTAGATTTGCTGGTGCACCATGTGTGAGATAGAGAGAGAGAGAGTCAACCTGTTCGAAACGTCGAGCCACTCATCCTCTCCAAGCGCTATAGTTCTCCTTAGAACTATATGCTAAGAAAGATAACAAACAGTCCTTTTCAGGACTACCACACCCCCAAGAAAGATTACTGAGTCAGAGTCCTTTTCAGGACTCCTCAACACACTCTCTCTCTCTCTCTCCCTCTCACATGGTGCACCCGCAAATCTACTGTATATGATGGCGATTATGTGTCCAACCAACGTTGTGTAAATAAAAGATTTGGCATCATTTACCCAGTGTTGGATCAAAAGAAAATACAACTTTTAACCAACAAAAATTTACCCAATCAGAAATTCATCCAATTCTCACCATAATGTGTAGCATATATTAGACACTAGTTAGGCAATTAAGTTGGATAACATGCAAAAGGACATTAGTGCCGGGGCGGGACTCGAACAGACCTTGTGATCTACAGTTGTGTGACATATCCCCTCGACCACGACACCTCTAATTTAATAATATAACATTATTGTTGTAAAGTAATGTTGCCTGACTAACGTTTGCCCAGTTCCATCTGCCCAACTTATATCGAACATGTAATTGCAAATGGGTAAATACATGTAATAAGTTGTTTGGAGGAAATACCCCAAATGTTGGACAGAAATGGCCTAACTCTAATTTGCCCAATAACATTACCCAATTATATCATCGGTTACTACATGGTTGGTTGGAAATAACCCAGATGTTGAACGACATTTGCCCAACATCGATTTGCCAAGTAACACCTACCCATCCTGTGTGTTTACCTTTCATGAGGTATCTTCATATAGTAAATGGTTGGGAGAAAATAGCCCAATTATCGGACAAAATTGGCACAACTTCGATTTACCCAGTAACATCTGCCCTACTTTTTTAACAGTGTATCTCCATATTTACTTCAACGTCAACAGGTATCCAATCAAGTTCTGTACAGCAAACAACACTAGGCGCTGTCACTTCTCCCGAAGGTCCAACCCAAATCACAATGACGTCATCCAAAACGTCCAGTTCCACTACGCAGACTGACAATGTTGTAACAACGAGTGGCTCTACGCAACCTTCGTCAACAACCGATGATGCGATCAGTGAGACAACAAGCAGTCCACCATCAACAACACGGTCACCAACATCACAAGCATCATCAACATCAACAATAGGGCAAGGATTAACAGATGTTGCTTCGCCTACTTCTGATCAGGCAACCGACACCACTAGTGCAACAATGCCAACGCACACAACCCAGGCAATTTCTACAACTACACGTCACTCCTCACCTCGGGACAGAGGTAAATATTTTGTTTGAAAGTTTATTTATTTATTTAATTATTCCATGAATTTGAATATTTGTTTCAGTCTACCCCCCCCCCCCTTCCCCTACTTGAATGGATTATTTCTGCTGCACACAAGGCGTTGTTTCGATTCATTTTTTTTCTCTATACTAAGCTAATTAAATATTATATTTGCATTGGGTGTACGGTGTCACCTTGGTGCGTCAAAGACCTAACTTATCACTGACACAGTTACACGTTAAGGCAATAACGCCTTGTGTGTAATAACGGAGATGTACGTATACCCGTTTTATCCCTAAAGCTATTGTCACAACTCTGAGCGGCGACCGACCGACCGGGCATTGACCTAATCGAGCGTTCGCCATCGAGCGATTTAGGTCAAAAATCGAGGCCGTTATGTCAAAGGCTGCCGAGCTGGCGTTGCCCGAACGCAGACCGATTTTTGATTCGCCGCCCACTGACCGACTGATCTCAGCGGCGATCTAGCGGCGATCGGGTGGTGACCGCTTGGCAGCCTTTGACCTAGCGGTTTCGATTTTTTATCTAAATCGCTCGACAGCGAACGCTCGATAAGGTCGTTGCCAGGGCGGCGACCGCCAAGGCACTAGGCGTATTTTGGGCGGCGAGTAAAAAGTGAGCAGGCACCGCCCGGACGCCGACCGATTTTGAAATCAACGCCAAGTGACAGACTGATTTCCCAGCGGCGATAGGCGGCGATCGGGCGGTGACCGCTCGGCAGCCTTTGACCTAGCGGCTTCGATTTTTGATCTAAATTGCTCGACAGCGAACGCTCGATAAGGTCGTTGCCAGGGCGGCGACCGACAAGGCACTGAGCGTATTTTGGTCGGTGAGTAAAAAGTGAGCAGGCGCCACCCGAATTTTAACTCCGCGCTAAAAAATTCAGCGGCGACCGAGCGACGCCCTTAAAACAAACCATAGTATGTAACCCTTCAACCCGTTCACGTTACACTTGATGGCAGGGGTTAATCAAGCAATTTGGTGCCGATAAATAGAAATAAGATGGTACAGGGTAATATAAGAAGGCAAATGATGTAAGTAAATTGTAAATAAAGTACATTTGTTTGGAGGAAAACGACAAGGATCTTAACGGAATAATTTGATTCATTTCCTATTTTTCTCTCTTTATCTTTGAATTTTTCATTGATTGTTACACCTTTAAGAGTCATCTTTCATTTTGCATATTTTCGGGGACTTGTAAGCTGACCTAACTCATATTTGTGATTTTCTCTTTAACTTTATAACCCTTTGAAACAGATCACACGAGCTCTAAAAACTTCCGATTACTGGCCAGCAATGTCGCCCTCGTCGATGCCTATGTTCTGTCATCATACACAGTTTCGTCAATCATCAAATGCAGTCAGTTGTGTTTTGCTGATTTCCGTTGCTCGTGTTATACTTACATCGCCTGCGAGGGTTTGTGCTTACTCGGCAAGGAATGTCTGGCGACGTCTACATACGCTTTTGAAAGACGACCCGGAGCTAAATTCTATTCGGCACTTCTTGAAGATCAGGACTAGAAAGTATGCAGCTATAAATACGGGCGCCGCTAGACCACTTTGAAACTGGTAGTGGTGGTTGCAAAATTGCCGACTAGGTAGCTCTAATTTTCAAAAAGCCCTGGAACACAACAACAAGCAAACATTTTGAAGATGCCAACTACAGAGATTAAAAAAAAAAAAACAGTTGACCGACAAGGCGACAACGGATACAAAAAAAAATATTTCAGAAAAGAAGGGAAGAAAAAAAGGTTATTTTGTTGTTGTTGTTGCAGACAATGCTAGGACGGGGGGGGGGGATGTTACCCCTAGTAATGGCCTGCCTATGTAGCATTTTAGAGGCTATGTGCAGTAATTAATGATAGTGTGAATTGATTAAAGTGTGTAAATATTTCACTCTTGGATATTCTCCAGAGACGTTTATTTATAATCCACTATGTAAATATCCGGTAAGGATTAAATTGACACAGATTGGCAAAAGAAATTCACTTTTCATGTTTTACACCAGCGCAATTGATTTTTTACTTCAAAGCATCAGGTTTAAACTGTTAGTACCTTGCTTTTTAAAAAGTGGATTCAAAGAATTGTGTGAGTGTGTGTCGGGGGAGGAGGCTCACCAAAAAATGGTTTTAAATGAGTTTGAGAAAAAAAAGAACATTCCACAGATGGTCTTATGAACCAATCACTCAGCCGCAACATGCTTAACAGAAATTTGCGACTTTTTCTGTGAGAACTTTGATGACGATAAATTTGTTGGCGCTGCATTCCTTGGCCTTAGAATAAGCTTTTGACGCTTTACCACATGACTTGCTTTTGTTTAAAATATCGTACTTTGGAGTCGATAAAGTTGAGTTGAAATGGTTTGAATCTTTCGTAATATGCAGCAAGCTATATGTATTGTTAAAGGAAAAATAAGTGACCGTCTCCTGTTCGAACAGGAGTCCCACAAGGATCCATAGTAGGACCACTTCTTTGTTGTATGTTCATGAATTGTATCTCGAATCTACAACTATCTGAGGGATTTGGTAATGGTTAATGTCTCACTGTTTGTTCAGTTTTATATTTGTTATTCTTGCTAATGATGCCATTCCACATATTTTATAAATGATCAGAAGTTATCTTCAAATAGGCAATAAAATTGCATATTTCTAAGAGGTAACAACTGTTAGTCGGTTTATTGTGATTCATTTAGAATATAAACATACATGCATTATATCTTTAATAAATGGCAATACGTGCTAGCGGCTCTACAGTTATCGACTAAATTATTCATACCCTTACCAAATGTTGTCATTTTTAAAAGTATGTAAACAATTTATATGTCCAGATTTATGTTTCTTGAGAATGACATTTTAAAAATTATACTATTAAAGTATTCAACAAAGGCCCTAAATAAACCAGTCAACCTTTCATTCTTGTGTTAGGAAAAACACAAAGAACATCAAATTCAAATTTACAAGGGGTAAAAATAATTTAGTTGTTCCACCGTATCATGTATGCCTGCAGTATAATATAACACTAATATCTCCATTATATTTTGAAAAAAGTAGAACATAATCACATTTCTATGAAAACAAATTTTAAAACTGTATCGTCCTTTTACTAGTTAGGAAAAAAATTCCTGAATGGCATCAGCGATCAACTGCATGTTGCCAAATTGAAGATCTCCCATGCAGTGATGATTACCTTCGTTATTTCCCCCCTTCTTATATCCACAATACTTGTTAACCATATATGAAAGGATATTTAATTCTAATTTGAAGTTAAACAATAGGGAGAAGATATCACAGAGTTTATATTCAGCAATCACGTTCAATTTGTATCATTGTATTTTAGATATTTTTGGGGTTTCCTGATCAAAAATATTCTTATTGTATAATCTATCTTGATGCATTTTATTTTAATTTTCAATTTTGTTTATTGTACAACATTACAATAAGTACATCTTTTGTCAGTGATCCGTTTTTTCCTGATAAAAAAATATTCTTATTGTATATCTGTCTTGATGCATTTTCTTTTATTCTTCAATTTTGTTTATTGTACAGCATTACAATAAGTAAATCTTTTGTCAGTGGTCATTTTTTTCCTGATAAAAAATATTCTTATTGTATATCTGTCTTGATGTATTTTATTTTATTTTTCAATTTTGTTTATTGTACAGCATTACAATAAGTAAATCTTTTGTCAGTGGTCCGTTTTTTCCTGATCAAAAATATTCTTATTGTATATCTGTCTTGATGCATTTTATTTTATCTTTTCAATTTTGCTTATTGTACAGCATTACAATACGTAAATCTTGTGTCAGTGTTACTGACTCTAATTGAGTGTTACAAGTCTTATGTTAAAGATAAAGGTGAGTTCTGGTCAACCGATTGCATTGTGAAACAAAAGGTGTGGAATGAATCAGAAAAAGTTGTTCATGTAGCATGTATGTATTGGTCTGTACTGCAAAGTTCTGGAGTCATCAAAATCATAATAAATTTGGCCCAGTCTTGGTAAATTAACAAGCACTGTACACAGAAAGATGCATATGGGACTACACAAATGGTGTCGGGGCTACTAACCTTGATTTCCTAATCGTTCTATGCTCATTACTCAGACAAAATACATTTTCTACCAAAATTTGTTTGGCAAATGACATTTATTTGTAACCTTGAACATTCAATGTAAGTTTCGTGTAATTCTGTAAGAATTCTTTTTTTTTTACCAGAACTCTTCTTTATCTTTAACATTTGTATCATGGCCTAATAACTCTATTTCTTATCCTCTGATTACTCATCGGGTAAAAAATCTATTGTATTTCTATGTAAAGTTTTAAGAAAACATAAAAAGATTTGATGTGAAATGTATCAATGTTCATACTGTATCTGTATTATCTTAATGTGATATCTGATATGAAATGTCGTAATGAATGATTATGCTTATCATGTTCATGTATTGTTTGTGCATGTATAATTTGTATTCTATTTTTTCTCCTGATGGTATAATTTTTGTTTAATGTATAACTATTTTTACACAGATATTTGTCAATTTTGTAGGATGAATAACTTTAAAAAATAAAAATAATTCTGTTTTATCTATTTTGTGGCATAGTGTCTAGTGCATTTTAGTTATAATCATAGAATATTATTGCATTCTTATTTCACAAATTTTGTCAGAACTGGAATCATGTAAAATAACATTTTTGTAAATGCTTTGTGAAGCACTTTAATTATGTTTATTTTATGATAATACTTCAATAAAGAAGATACATATCAAAGTACTTATTGATGCTTTTCTGTAAAACCAGAATAAAATATAATTTCATTGTTATATCACAAATTTTGTAAGAGTTCTAACTTCTGTGATAAAACTGAAATCATGTAACATTACTTTTTTAATAAATGCTTTGTGAAGCAGTTTAATTCTTTATATTTTATGACAGTGCTTCAATAAAGAAGACACATTTATCAAATACTTATTGATGCTTTTCTGTAAAACCAGAATTTTCATGAATTTCTCAAGTGGTCGAGATTTGCAAAAATATATCATGCCGTGGAATGTTTAAAACACATTTAATCACAACACAAAATTTGAAAATTAATGAAGATTTCTTGCCATGAAAATGGCTGTCATTGGTAATCTGTGAAGATTCGGGTTTTACAGCATTAGATTTTCTATGTATAATAAAGGAATTTATGTTCAATTTGCAACTCGTCTTTCATAAATGTGATTATTTTTAGTCCTATAGCTGTCATTGGCAAGGTATTAATTTTTAATTTTTTTTCTCTATAATTTATTGATTGAATAAAACATTTATAAGAAACACATAATTACAAAGACAAACACATGAATTATACTTATATCACAAAATTAATAATATTTAAAAAAACAAAAAACATAATCAACATTCTTTTCCGGAGGTGATACTTTTCAACATTTGCCCGCCATAATACTTCCTTTCAATAGGTGTCGAATATGTTTTTAAAATTACATTTTCTTTTTTGCGTATTTTTTATAAAACATAAGAAGCTAAATTAATCAATGGATTTGTAAAAACTACATAGTTTGAATTTATATAATCACATTGGTTGCCTACAATTATATCACTGTATTCAATTTTGTCATTATCAAGTAATACTTCTGTTTTTTCTGAGAAAAATTAAGACCTTGTTCCAAAATATTTTCGAGTAATCACAATCGTAAAATAAATGATAATAATTTTCTGTGCATCTGCACTTCAAACAATCATGATCAGACTTTTTAAAACGATTTATATTTTTAGAAAGATATATATTTATCTCTCATTGTAGGGAAAATATTTTCTGTTGTAAATCTTTTGATAATAGCTTGCACTGGTAATACATGTACGGGGTTATTTTGAGATTTCTCTGAATGGGAGCACCTGGCCACCCCCCCCCCCCCTCTCCCTGTCTCAACACACACACCACCAACAACTTAACACTTGGCAACTCGTTCTTGTGATTCAAATGGAATTTAGTCATAATGAAATTGATTTAGTATACGGGCTAAAAAGTACAGTATAATGAAGCATTGAAAAAAAGAATATAACGGGGAAATACAGATTGGGTCAGTAAAACACTCCTTTATTTTAACGACAATATTTGTTTATGTGACACATTTTTACTAGAATTGTCTAATTTATTCGTTTTTAGCATACAAATCCAATTGATATCGAGGTACGTGCCTCCTAATCTGTACTATAGCCTAGTAATTGTTTCATACATGATCCAGAAAAGATACCTTAACAAACAAAAGAGAAGACCTTATGTCGAATGGTGAATACATCTTTGATGATGGCAAATAACTTGTATCTCATGCTCGGAAAACTTCTAGTTTTAGCTTTCTCTTATATCTTCTTGAAAGAGTTCGTGACCGATCCCGGGTGTGAAATCCTTGTACAATTTGTGATTTCCCATGACTCTCTTTTCTCTCTTCTCATTTCTTTCTTCTTCTTTTTGTCTTCGGTAAAGATTTGCATGCACCCGATGAAAGTAAAGTCAGAAGTTACCGTGACGTCACGGTCGTGCAGTTTCTTTAGATGTTTATTAACTATTGAATATCATTGAGAAAGAAAAAAACCTGCATCATGCAAAAGATTTTTAAAAGTAAGATCACCTATTTCCCCTTCCCCCGATCACTATACATATGTACTAGTTATCCGGAATAAAAGTGGATAAAAGTAAGAAAAGTCGGCATACCTAGTTCATTTATAGTCACGGTAGCGAACCCCTGTTTATAGGTAGTAGGATGCAATAAGACAGAGAACAGAGTTAGGTGGACCAATCATCTGCGTCCAAAGAAAGCTAAACCTTTTCCTGAACCGTGTCCTGTGTGCCTCCCCTCGGTGCACGGTGGCACTCTCGAGATGGTAGACGGGGAACATGGAGTCACGGGGCGTTCCCGCTACGGGGTCATAGCCGCAGAGTTCCCAGAGAACTCCGTCGTAGTTACGTAAGCCTTCCGATGCGTCTGTTAAAATCCAAAAGAAAACAAATTCGTGCTTTCATGTAATTTTGTCATTGAAACATGATGTTTCAGGCAGGATATTACAGGTTACAAAAGAGGCGTACCCATCAGCTGCCCGACCACTCGAAGTGACAGTTGCCCTATACTAGCCCTAATCAGTATTTTCAGAATTCGCGGGGGAGGGGGCGAGGTGACTGCAATTCCAGCCCTGCCCCGGCAGTGTTCACTTCTTCTTTATTTTTGGTTCTGCCTACTGTTATTCACCTCGTAGTTTCCAACAAAACAACAAATATCTTTATCAAATATCATTTTGCCCGATAATATCATTCACGGGCGTAAACCTGCAATTGATACATATTGTTCAGGGGGGGGGGGGGGGTGATCTATTCATTCACCCCCCCCTGAACAATAGGTATTACGTAAGGATTTACGCCCATGATATCATTATCCTGTTCGTTAAATAAATAAATAAATATAAATTAAATGATGATGATAATGATGATACTAATGATGATTATGTTGATAATGATGATGATGATGCTGCTGCTGCTGATGATGATGATGATTAATGACAATACTGCATTTAAATCACAATATCTCTTACCCATATACCTGACGGTGTTTGGAGCCAAATCCTAATGGCTACGAGAGAAACTAGTAATATAAGGTGTTTAAAAAGCGTTCAATTTATGCAACTTCCGAGTGTATTTTTCTCAGCCTGGATGTTCTTTTCTGTGCCATTTTGATTATTGCTGATCAGAGCCATTATTTCGGTTTGGTGAAATTCCATATTTATTTTTCCTATCCTTTACCATGTCAAGATAAATTTGAACTCAACGGCTGGGCTGGTGAGCATAATTATTAGTTTGTTGATATCGCCATCTTCGACGGCTTGAATCAAGTGTGTAGGGAAATTATAAAGGACCGTGCAGATTCTGGACTAGCTACTTATATGCAGCTCGTTGTCAAAACAATAGTGATAATTTGATGCGCGCGCATTCACTCCTCAAAGTTTCATTGTAAATGATTATTACGTCATAATGCAAAAATTGTTAAACTTTGCGATCACAACAACCCCCATTCCCATTTGCCCCCCGCCCTCTCTCATTCTCTCTCTCTCTCTCTCTATCTCTATTTCTCTCGCGTTCTCTCTCTCTCTTTTTTTTCCTCCCTTGCCCTCGCTCTCTCACTATCTCTCTCTTTCTCTCTCTCTCTCTCTATCTCCCCCTCTCTCTCTCTCTCTTTCTCCCTCCTCTCTCTCTATGTCTCCTCTCTCTTCTGTTTCTGTCTGTCTCTCTCTGTGTGTCATTCTCTCTGTCTCTCTGTGTGTCTCTCTCTCTCTCTCACTCTCTCTTCTCTCCTCTCCTCTTTTTTTTTCTGTCTGCCTGTCTTTCTCTCTCCCCTCTATGTTTCTTTCACTAACCGGTATACATACCAGTGCAGAAGCGTATCGAAACCGGCGTACGTACAGTATACCCCATTTGCCAAATTATTATGACGAAGACAAAAATGTCAATACAAACTAATGTCCTGCGTGGAAGATGGTTACCTGCTAGATAAAACCACGGTAGGGGGGAGGGGGGGGGGGGGGTAGTCAATTACTTAAAATGTGTCCCAAACGAATAAGAATTTTCACCTATTAATAATAATAATAATCCGTTCTTGTACAGCGCATAACACATCATGGAAATTATTACCCTAAAGCTTTGGCTTCGAACTTCATCTGTTATTAGCGCACAGTACATTAAAGGAATAATCCTACCAGGTACCCATTTACCTCACTTGGGTGGAATGTTGCAAATGTAGAGTAACGTCTTGTCAAAGGACGGCAGTGTGAAGGAAGGGATTCGAACCCCGTTCATTGTGGTTCACAGTTCCGCAGAACAATCCACTGGACCACAAACTCCTCTATTTCGGCAAAAAATAATAAAATGAAATAAAAAGCTTGAGATAAACCATGGATTATTACCACCATTTGGTATCATTGCCATATTAAATCCATGGTTATATTATCACGACATTTTTAGTTTTTAGATTAAGTAAATGGATACAAAATTTAAGTCGTACAGGACACACTTCACAGAATCGCTTTTAAAGGCTCACTACGAATCATCAGGTCATCGCGTCTGGTCGGGTGGTCGTGTTACACGACCTTTCGTGAAACGAAAGCGGGAGGTTACGCTATCTTTCGTAGATTTGCTGTAGGGTTTTCACAAAAAGTGTTGGGTAAGTTGGACCAGACCATTTTTAGATGAGAATTTAGGGTTTTTTTCACAAATATTACCCCCGACATTTCGTGAATAAAGGGGCATGTTTTCACAAAAGGTCAGGTAAAGCGACCACCCGACCCGACGCGATGACCCGATGATTCGAAGTAAGCTTTTTTAAGGAGTGTCATACAAGCATGAAGTACATAAACAGTATATAATGACCAGTGGCTTTTACTGGTACATTTCGCGGATCCCCCTTGTTTATCGACTAATGGTAACGCCAATGCTAACCTTCAGAAATAGTGCATTGCATTCTAGAAACGAAACCAATATCAATTTCAGGTTCATTTCACTTTTCATCTTCACCTCAAAGAGGTTCATCCCCAATTACTATTAGATGATCGATAAAAATGTCTATCCCCTCTACAATGATTGAAGAACTTGATTACGAGCTTTTCCGTGGTATTCAGAGCGCATCGTCCAATAACTGTTATATCGAACGTTGCCATGATAACCACAATGGATTCTCTGGATAACAAATTTATACCTGATAGATTAGCTAACAAAGCGTCTACCATCGTCTAGTGGGGTTCATCACTGATGTCATGATATTTGAAAATGTGGGTCAGAATCATGAAAGTAATTGATGAAAAATCATAATCAATTAGACCAGAGTTTTAACATAATTCCGGTACCAAAGAATATGATTATGTGTACTAGGCCTCAATCAATTATGATGGAATCCATGTCATACTTGTTGAGGGTTTTATGAGAATGAATTTGAACTGAAGCTCGTCCAAGCGAGAGGATACACTTTATTGGTAGTATCGAGGTTTGGTGAATTGCAAGACACCTATTAGGTCGAGGTATGTAATTTGATTTATTAACAAGATTATATTCATATGTCATACATAAATTAATGGGTTTTTTTTACAAAATCATATTTGAAACTCTAAAGTTATAAGAAAAACACATATCATGAATATGAAAAACATCCTCTTCGTTGCTCTCTAGAGTGTAAAATCTGAAGTGAATCATTCGGAAGGTATTGTTCGTGTACATTTCCTTATTCTTAATCCAGAGTAATACCATTATAAATAAATGGTAAGCGGTTTCGTCCACTAATGCTCAGTGATTCGTTAGTAGAGTAATCGTCGTGGCCTAGTGGATATGTCACCGGACTTTGGATCACATGGTTTGCGGTTGGAGTCCTACCTCGACACTAAATGTTCTCTGGCAATGTGTTAAATATTTATAACGGTATGCAACTAACCAGTGCAGTGGCGTATCGAAGCCGGCGTATGCATAGTAAAACCTGGCCATCTATTTGCAAAAAAAATGTCAGTAAAATCTAACGTCCTTTGGCGAATCATTAATCTTCATTTTTTCACTCATGACATTATGTGTGGTAGGTGGATTACACTTGGCCTGCGATTAATATACGGAGCCCGTATCCAGCCCATATCTCCTTTTCCGTGCGGCCTCCGTACGGAGGCAGGAGGCGACAGTGAGATTTTCGTCCGGATTCGCGGGCTCCGCGGCCGCTACGATTTTGTTTCGCAGAAAGTTATACAATTTTGAAACATCGTAAGCCCGTGGTGGGCATCACGCGGAGGACTTGCACTGATCGTGCAGCAAACGCACGATCTTTCGGTGAAAATTTAGGCAAAAAAACGCTTAAAACGGCACGGCGGCTGCATGGTCACCGCGCCTTCTCCGCGGACCTTTGCACGGAAGCTGGACGGACTCCGTACGATTTCCGCGCCAAGGTTGCGAAGACTGCACGGCTACTGCATGGCTACTGCATTGAAATTTCACGATTTCCGTACACTCTCCAAGCAGCCTCTGTAAGAATTGGCCTGCCCCCGAGGGCCAATACAAGAAATGGCACGGTGCTCGTAGATATTTTAAAAACAAACATCGTAGCCCGTAGCCTCCTACAATGCCCCCGAAATCGCACAGAAAATTATAGACTAATTTATCGTACGGCGCCCGGGGCAAATGTAATTCAGGCATAATAGTTGGAGGGGAGGGTGAAAATTCCGTAGGATATATCTCATACGGATAAAACTGTTCACCTATTATGGATAGTAATGATATTCCGTTCTTGTAAAGCGGATGACACAGTAAGCAAATATTATTCGAGTACGAGGGTAATGGATACAAACTATCATTGACGAGGTGTTCTCGGGGCTACTATCATCCCGAGCCGCAAGGCGAGGGATGATGGTTATAGCCCCGAGATCACCGAACCGATGATAGTTTGTATCCATTGCCCAAGTAAAGGAGGTTAATATTTGTTTTATATCCCACATTGGCAATAAGATCTATTTTAAGTGAATTTTACATATTTAAAAGAACTGATTCTGCAGACAGTAATTAGCTTCAGCTAGAATTTACAAAGCACAACATGCACACATGTAATAAAGTCGATGCGCGCTCATTTTGACAGTGACATTGACATTTCGCATATTACTTTGCTATGCGTATTCAATGGGGAAGTGGGGCCGCAGCAAAAAATTACTATACAAAAGTCCTATCGCAGAGAGATAGTACTTATCTATCATTGATCATGTGACCTCGTATAGACCAATCAGATTGCAAGATTCTTAGTATATGGGATATGATAAAGCTTATCTGCACTAGTTTTGCCAGGAGGGATTAAACCACACACCGAGGTCACTGACTATGTCTATCTCATCAACTGAGCTCTCAAATAAGATAAGAAATAGAGGATCATGGGGGACCAACAGGCGCCGTTTGGGGAAGTGTTATATATAGAGGGAGCAAGTAGCTACATGTAGGACAGTGGGGCTTTCAGCTATGCGCTTCAAAGGGGCTTTGAAAACTAAAACCCTAGCTTATAACTCCGGCTGCCGGCAGGAATAATCGTTCGAGGTACCATTCACCAAGCTGTGAGGAGTGTGGCGAATGTAGATTTATGTTTGTGTTATGGCAGGGACTCGAGCCCCGTACCTTGTAGTTCACAGCTCCGGAGACTTATCCACTGGACCATAACACCTCTATTATTTCGGCAAAATGAAGAGAAAAAAAAGATGGAGATAAACCGTTGATTATTACCTTCTTGTCGTATCATTACCATGAATCAACGACCATGATCGTGATATTTCTAGGTTTTGGCTGAGTGAAGTAAATTGACAAATGATTTAAGTCGTACCGGACACATTTCACATAATCGCTTTAAAGGGTCTTACTTTGAATCATCAGGTCATCGCGTCCGGTCGGGTAGTCGCGTTACACGACCTTTCGGGGAACGAAAGCGGAAGGTCACGCGATCTTTCGTAGATTTGCCGTAGGGTTTTCACACGTAGTGTCAGGTAAATCGGACCAGACCATTTGTAGATGAGGAGGGTTTGTTTCACAAATATTACCCTCGACATTTCGTGAATAAAGGGGCATGTTTTTACAAAAGGTCGGGTTAAAAAATGACCAACCAATCCGACGCGATGACTCGATGATTCGAAGTAAACCCTTTTAACGGTGAAATTCAAAGAAAATCACAAATATGTCAACTATTGTATCACTAGAAACCGGTAAGCTAACAGATGGCCATCGTACAAGTTTTAGGTCAACTGCATATCGGGTGATTTATAAAAATATAAATACAACCACTTCCATAGCAGCTGGGATATACGAGAGATTCGCCGGAAAAATAACGATGTTTTAATGAAGTCACTATATGGACCAATACTGCCCAAGTAGACGACATCCCATAAAAAATGAACATAGGTGCAAAGCTATTATTTGTCAAATTATAATGAGTTTAGTGTATATAAAAGGGGATATAATCCGATTCTGATAAATAAAATATTTTTCTTGTAAATACACAGAATATGGGTTAATTAACAATCAAAGAAACCAGACTTTCAAATTAAAAAAACCCGGAACGGCATTTGTTCCCTCTTGAAACGCCGAACATACAGCGGTGTGTGCAGCTGAATATACAATGGCGTCTTATTTTGTTTACGAGCGACAGATTCCTATGTTTTTGTATCGCTGCATTTGTCATCAAAATAAAACCATGCGCGGGGTTTAGAGTGAGGCAAAAGATTATACATTTAGCCTGACGGTAGTGAAGTAAGAGAAGGAACTCAAGAGAAGATGAAAACACAGGCACTGAAAATGTGTGAGATGTCAAGGGTCATCGTCTGCTTGTGCAAATCATGTCTATACTGTGATCTCACACATCTCAGCAGCGTTCGGAGAGCTCTCCAGGTGCTATGCCAGGGCTGTATTTAAGCGTTTTGTAATTTATAATAATCATTACTTCGAATGTTTCCAAGCATTGAATTTCGATAACCTTGTCGCATCAAAGTTTCAACTTTGCAATAATGAAAATAAAGTTAGTTTTTAAAATCAATGAATACCTACTTTTAGGAGTGTCATGCATGAAATACATGAAAAATCTTTCATTACCAGTGGTTTTTACTGGTACATTTCGCGGATTCCCCCTTGTTTATCGACAAATGGTAACGCCAATGCTAACCTTCAGAAATAGTGCATTGCAATCTATAAGAGAAAACCAATATCAATTTCAGGTTCATTTTACTTTTCCTTTCATCATCACCTCAAAGAGGTTTATCCCCCATTACTATCACATGATCGATGGAAAATGTCTATCCCCTCTGCATTGATTGAAGAACATGATTACGAATATATCGAATTTTTGCATGGTATTCCGAGCGAATCCTCTCGGAATAACTATTGTATCGAACTGTGCCATGGTGATCAGAATAGGCGCTCTAGATAAAACGTTAATACTTTATGGATTAGCTAACAAAGGGCCGCCTACCATAGTGGGATTTACCACTGATGTCATGTGGGTCAAAATAATGTACGAAACATAAAATAGCGTACAAAGAATGAGTCGACCAAATACTGCCTGCACCGATCTTGACGTCAGGCGCGGGATTTATCACTGGTATAATAATGTAAATGTGGGTCAGAATCATGAATGTAATGCATGGAAAGCATAATTTAATCAATTAAAACCAGATTTTCAACATCACCCCTGTATCAATGACTATGATTACGTGTATTAGGCCCCCAATCAATTAAATGATGGAAGTCATGTCATACCTGTCGGCACTGATTTGATATATATAAATGTTGACGTCTTCATGAGAATGCATTTGAACTGAAGCTCGTTCAAGCGAGAGGATACACTTTAGTGGTAGTATATTGAGGGTCAGTGAGTTGCAAGACACCAATTAGTTCGAGGTATGTATTTGTATTCATAGGGAAAACCTTATTCATGTGGCATAGGCCTAGTTGAATTAATGTTTTGTTTTCCAAAATCATATTTGAAACTCTAAAAATATAAGAAAAGCGCATATTTATCAAAAAAATATATAAATGTTCTCTTTGTTGCTAAAGTGTAATATCTGAATTGAATTATTGGAAAGTATCGTTCTTGCATATTTCCTCATTCTTATTCCAGAGTAATACAACCATTTCCCCCTATTTTATATAGGGCCTACAATCATAACATCATGATAATAATACAGATCATTATGGTAAGAGCTTTCGGCCACTAGTCCTCAGTCAGTCATTAGTAGAGGTATCGTGGTCTAGTGGATATGTCACCGGACTATGGGTCACACGGTTTGCGGTCCGAGTCCCACCTCGGCACTAATGCATACTTTGGCAAGACTTTAATCTACACTTGCCACTCTCCACCCAGGTGTTAAATGGGTACCCGGTAGGATTTTAATGTTAATGTGGTTGGATTGGCATGCGTGCGCTAGTCTTGTAAATTGGCGCCCGGCGGAATACTCCCCAGGAAGCGGAGCGCGTGGACTACCATGTGTTGATTAGCAATTGAATCCAATGATCGGGGTGATGATAATTATAATGTAACGCGCTTAGAAACGTAGTATTAAGCGCTACACAAAAGTGACTTTTATTAATATAATTATTTTATATCTATGCAGATGGAGTTATCTTTCTTCGTTACCTTCGTTATATTAATCCAATACAGCCCAGTGACTGCTAATCAAGGTGAGTATTTGATGGGTGTCTTCTTATCACCTTTCTTTCATCTATATATTTCTATCACATTGATTTCGTGTGTGCCTCGATTGGGATGATTATTTACATTCAAACGTCAAATATAGTGGTGACAACAAATAGAAGCCGATTACACTATTGTAAAGAAAATACATAGTTTTTGTTCACAATAAAATACTTTACTACATATTATCTAAATAATTTGTACTAACTTTCCCGGCGATATTTTGTCTGGATTTTCGAGCTCCTTGTATAATAGTAATATAGCATCCATCAAATCTTGTAGTTAATTCTTTATCACGACCTGCCATATTGTTCTTCTTCTTCTAAGGGAAAAAAGCCCCTATATAAATATGTAAACTTCAACTAATTGACAAAATGATGGTTTGATATTTCTGGCGACCGATCTTTATAAGCAACTGATATTAATTTTTTCTTCCCATTCTCGTCTTTTTGTTTCCCTGCCTCTCATTCAATTGCAGCTTGTAATTCTGGTCAAGGTGAGAATGAAGGGTCATGTTATTATTTCTCAGAAAGCAAGTTAAACTTCGTCTCGTCGAAATCGTCCTGCGAGGACCTTGGAATGCATCTTGTCTACATAGGATCACAGGAAGAACAAAACTTCATGCAGAATAACATACCATCTGGTGAAAGTAATAAGGAAAAGCATTGGATAGGTGTATTATCCAGTCTGACTTGGCTTGACGGTTCGAGTCTGACCTACTCCAAATTCGCAGATAGTTCAGGTAGTTCAGAGAGTTCAGAGATTTTCGATGCAGGAGAGAAGTGTGTCGCTATAGAACCAAAAAATTCATACAAATGGAAAGTGGATGATAACAGTTGTGATGGTGGTCACAAGCACCATTATATCTGCGAGAAAGAAGGAGGTGAATATATACTGATGATCCATAGCAGTTTTAACAATATCAGTTGATTCAATTCAATTTCCGTGGGTTTTCATGTGTTTTTACAGTTGTATACAGAAAAGCTCTTACATTCAGTTTATTCATTGCATCCAAGATATACGTAGTTGTCTTGGATATTTCGAAGCAAATTTTGTTTCTGCCTCAATGCAAGTCATTGATGATCAACAAATTATTTTACTGACGGATTCCAAGGAAAACGTTTATGCCTAATCTTCATCTTTTATTTTGAGATTTGTCATCCTTTTCATCGAAACTATCTCGCTATTTATACTTCAACGTCAACAGGTTTCCAAACGAGTTCTGTGCAGCAAACAACACCAGGCGCTGTCACTTCTCCCGAAGGTTCAACCCAAACCACACCAAATCAAATGACGTCATCCGATACATCCAGTTCCACTACTCAGACTGACAATATTGTAACAACGAGGGGCTCTACGCAACCTTCGTCAACCACCGGAGATGCGATCAGTGAGACAAAAAGCAGTCCAGTATCAACAACACCAACCTCACATGCATCATCAACGTCAACAACACAGCAAGGATCAACAGATGCTGCTTCACTTACTTCTGAACAGGCAACCGACACCATTCCTGCAACAACGTCAACGCACACAACCCAGGCATTGTCGTCGGCTACACGTCCCTCCTCTTCTCGGGACAGAGGTAAATGATTTTGTTTTAATGCGTTGCAGTCACCCCTAGCCCACCTACACACACCTGTTAACATGGGCTATGTCTTTATAGGGACACCGTACAATCAGTCAATGCAAATATTAGGTTTAATTAGCGTAGTATAGGTCGACACAACGCCAACCTATACTACGCTAATTAAACCTAATATTTGCATTGACTGATTGTACGGTGTCCCTATCTGAACACTGCGCGTCAAAGACCACACAAATCACTGACGCAGTAACAATAACGCCTCGTGTGTCATTACTGGGATGTAGATACATTTACCCGTTACATTCATTACAGCGCCTCTGGGTATAACCCTACAACCTAAATGTTCAGCGACAAAACATTTGTCTGAAGGGTTATAATTCATTGCAGCTCTTTACTTTATCACTAATTCACAATAAATTGGTTAAAAATGAAACTCATATTTTTTTTTAATCTTTAACTTTATAACCTTTGAAACAGGTCACACGAGCTTCAAAAACTTCCGACTACTGGCCAGCAATGTCGCCCTCATCGATGCCTATGTTCTGTCATCATACACGGTTTCGTCCATCATGGAATGCAGTCAGTTGTGTCTTACCGATGTCCGTTGCTCGTGTTATACTTTCATCGCCTGCGAGGGTTTGTGCTTGCTCGGCGAAGAATGTCTGGCGACTTCTACATTCGCTTTTGAAAGGCGAACCGGAGCTAAATTCTATTCGGCACTTCTTGAAGATTAGGACTGTTTCTAGAGAGCACGTAGCTATAAATACGCGCGCTGCTAGACCACTTGGAAACTGAGGGTGAGGGATGGCATAATAGTAATTTTGAAATAACACAACAATTAGGAAACAAATATTTTGAAAAGTGCCAATTACAGAGATTTTGTTTTTAAAAAAACAGTCGTCAGATAAACAAATTGGCTGACAACGGATACAAAAAAAAGATTTCAGAAAAGATGGGATGAACAAAAAGTAGATGTGTTGTTTTCGTTGTGATTTGCAGACAATGCTAGAAAGGGGAGGGATGTTACCCCCTTTAGTAACGGCCCTTCTTATATAGCCATTTAGAGGCCATGTGCAGTGATTAATGATAGTGTGAATATATAGTGTGTACATATTTAACTCCTAAATATTCTGCAGAGACGTTGATTTATAATCCACTATGTAAATGTTCGGTAAGCATTAAATTAACACAGATTGGCAAAAATGATTCAAATATGTACTAAAGAGTAGAAGATAATTCACTTCTCATTTGTTTACACCGGCGCAAGTGATTTTTTCATAGCATCAGGTCACTGTTAATAGTACCTTGCTTTGCAAAAAGTGGAGTAAAAGAATTGTGTGGGGGGAGGAGGCTCACCAAAAATCTATATGGCTTTAAATGCGTTGTGAAAGAAAAAAAAAGAACATTCTACAGAAGGTCTTATGTCCCACTCACTCAGCCGTAACATGCTTAACAGAAATATGCGACTTTTTATATGAAAACTTTGATGAAGGTAAATTTGTCGTCGGTGCATTCTTTGACCTTAGAAAAGCATTATGCCCTATGACATACCCATGTTAAAAGTGTCGTACTTTGGAATTGATGAAGTTAAGTTGGAATGGTTTTATTCTTACGTAACAGGCAGAAGGCTATGCGATTTTATAAAGGAAAAACAAGTGACTTTCTCCCCGTTCGAAGAGGAGTCCCACAAGGATCCATACTAGGACCACTTCTTTTTTGTATGTTCATGAATGGTATCTCGAATCTAAATTTTAATCCACATACAAAACTCTTACCTTATGCGGTCGATACAGCTGTGTTAAATTCCGATTTCGATATAAAGATAGTGCAGTCAATTTAACAATCAGAATAATAAGTTCAGTAAAATGGTTTTTAAATAACGGAATGATTATTATCTCAGACAAAAAAGTTATATCGTTTTCATCCCGTCGGTAAAGAAATACTTTTAATTTTGAGATATTCATGAATGGTTAATTACTAGAAACTGGCACTAAACACCTTGGTGTAATTCTCGAACACAATTTTAATCGGACGTATCAGGTTGGTGAAGTAGTTAAGAAAATCGTTCGATCAGTATTGCATGTATACGCAGGGGCGGACCCAGCCGGCGATTTAGCAGGGGGGGGGGGTATGGGTAGGGCCCGTCTTCTTCTTTCTTTTTAACCTGTTTTGGGGCAGGGGTGGGGGCCTCTGTATACGAAGAAGCAAAAAATCTTGTTTAACTAATGACAATTTTAAACAATAATTTTAAACTCATACTTTCGCACATTTACTATTGTTGTACAGTTGGGGGCTCTTTAACATAAAAGGATAATTATGTTGAGGATAGAAAGATGCTAACGCAAAAACGCTCGAGTGGTTTTGAATGCTGACTAATAATGCACCATCATTAGGATTTCTTCACTCACTTAAATGACAGCCCATTGAATAAAGAATAAGCTTTCATTTGTTGTTAATGATGTACCAGTTACTACACAACCTTGCCCCACAATACCTCTGTAATCTCTATACTATAGTATTTAAACGTAATGTCGCCTCTTGTACTCGATATATAATTTCTTGCCAATAATACCTACCGAAACCAAGAACTGAATATTAAAAAAAATACTCCTTCTCATATACTGCGAACTTTTTAATTCACTTGCAATGCTTGTTCAAATAGCATCCACATTACCTATAGAAGGAGAGATGGAGAGATAGATAGAGAGAGAGAGAGAGAGCGTGCGGGAGAAGGTGAGAGGGAGAGAAGAAGAGTGGGGAATGCAAAGTTATGAATATCAACAAGTTTTAATGCATACCAAACATAATAATCAGTAGACTTGACACTAGAAAATAATAAATTACATAACTGCCAAGCATCATTGTCAGAAAAGGAAAGCGAAAATAAAGCACTTCACACAAGAAAGATTATCGCATTAATACTGCAATTAATCTAAACATGATGTACTACAATTTGCTCATTGCAAAACGTTAGAAATTCAATTTTCATTATATGATTTAATACTTCGTACAACATGCAATGGCATACCTAGAAATTAATTATCAGGGCGGGGAGGGGGGGGGGGGTCACTCCCTCCTGACTGGGGAGATGGAATGTTCCTTTAATACCAGCCACACATGATGGAGACAAACAACAAGTTCTTTTCTTCTTCTTCCTGGGCAGTCAAACAAGGGGGCTGATGTTGACGTGATTCTATGTTGGATACGCCATTGCTTGCTCCTCAAAAATAGTTCTTCAAAATCTCTTTAACTTTTCAGGACTTCTTTAGAAACGTGTGCAACCTAAAATATTGACGAAAGCAAAATCAACTGTTTTGGATAAAAGGGTCCTTTGCTAAGTATTTAGTATGCAGTGAGGAATCTATTGATTTGAGTCTATCATGTGTTAATATGCTAAGAGCCACAATTAAGGTAATTTTAGAGACGGAATGTTTAAAACAACACAAACAAGACGCAACTGATTTGTATGAAGGTTAAAGGACATACAGTCTTATAAAAGATATCAAATTTATGACATCTCTTTTCATATAACTGTTGTTCGCAGCAGAAGCTATCGGTTTATTGTGCATTGTCCTATTCCCCCTACTGTGCCCCTCAGATGACAAAACAGGCACATAATAAACAAGTTATTCAAGGAGAGGAACTACAGCACAAGATACAACGTTAAAGTACCACCATTATGAAAAAGAAGGGGAGGGAAAAGGGAGGGGGGGGGGTCTGTCCCTTGTCAACCCAAGGTGTGACTTCCCTGTCTCAATAGAACATGAATTCTTCGTGCTCAGAAATAAAAATAAATAAATTAAAGAATATCTGCACTAGTTTTGCCAGGAGGGATTAGACCTCCCTGCGTGGTCCATGGGGGATCAACTGGTAACGCTAATGCATTGTTGGCCATATAGAGGGCGCAAGTATAGCTACAAGTAGTACAGTCCCGATTTAATGTCCAAATACAGTGCACTATGCACTAGCGTCCAGGAGACTACCTCCGTTTAAAAATGGCTGTATGACAGGGTAAGTGGACACTTTTTTTTTTTTTTTGGCTCGAAATTTGAAAATTTGACATTTTTTCGTTGGGGGGGGGGGGGGTAAGGTCACTTTACGTTAGCCGTGGGCATAATTTTTTTTTTATTATTATTATTTTTTATTTATTTATTTAAAAAAATATTTAAAAAAAAAAAAAAGGGGGGGGGTTTTAGTTTTTTTTTAGGGGGGTTGACACACATAAAAATACCAAAGGAGGGGGTTTGAACCCCCAACCCCCCACCCCTGCGAACGACCCTGCCCTAGATAACCCTTCATTTACTAACGACGGAGTTGAATGAATCTTGGCGCATGCGCCAGAAGGACTGAATTCGAATGATAAAATTGCGGCATTCCGTGTTCGATACGATAAATGAAATGGCTTGATAGCATATTGAAAGACTGTCTCCGCCAAAAACGGTGTTTTCACTACATTGAATGAAGTGAACGATTTATCAAATGGATTGAAAACAATGAAAATTGACAGGGAAAACTTATTTCATCCTCACTTCTTCAGATATTTGTGTATAACTTAAATTGCTTTTCCCCTACTCCTCCTCTCTATTGTCTCTTCAAATTCGTTGCATCTTCCCTTTTTCTCGTTTGTATCTTTGCCTTTGTCTCTATCTAAAACTGCATTTTGTTGTCAGTCTTCAATGCTTCTTGTATACAATCCTTTACAAAATACAACTACTCCCCCGTCTTCTCCTTCTGTTCTCATTTCCGTTATTCCGTAAAACTGGTCAATAATTACGTTCTCTCTAATCTGCGCTCTCTCTCGCGCTTTCTTTCTATCCAACTCCCTCTCACCCACGCACACACATTCTCTCTCTCTCACTCTCTCTCTCACACACACACACACACACACTCTCTCTCTCTCTCTCTCTCTCTCCCACTCTGAATCTCTCACTCTGTCTCCACACCCCATGTATCTTTTCGAGAATGAGTTTCTGTTTCCTATGACTAGATAGGTAAAACCATTCCAACTTGGCATCCTTGTCAATCATCAAGTGAAAACCATATTCAGTTTTAATCCAATAATGGATTGGTCATGAATTAAAATATAGTATATCGAAACGCCTCGTCTGATTAGAAATCCATTATTAATCATGCATATTTAGTTTATACACCGACTTACACTGTAACGTACGTGGTACACAATCATAGGTAGAATTCTGTGGTGCATACAGATCGAAATTAAATTAAATTGAATTGAAGTCAAGATACCAGGAAAAGGATAGCCTTTAAACAAGGCCACATGCCTGATAGACGCCGAGCGACTAAAAAGAGACTAATCGCGAAAACCTGAATGAACGCCAGTGCGAATTGTCCAGACCTGACATTCGTCATTCGGTCGCGCGTTCACTCCGGGTATCTAGACTCATCTCAGCCGCTTAGCCAGAGTCAACGAGGCCTTGTCAAAAGGCTAGGAAAAGGATGGGTATTATAAGCATATAAAGTTACGTGTAGTCACTATTGATGCAATCGTGCGCGTAGACACGAGGCGTTTGTTGGCGTTGAAGATTTTGTTTACTTGAAAAAATTTCCCTCGGTAACCTCCTTTCTGAAAATGGCACTACCGAAATGAATCGAAGAGTAGCCTGTCGATGGGGCAAATGTTTAGACAGCCACAAACCTTAAAACAACAATGCTTATTATGCAAATGTATTATATCTTGTTTCTATTGAAAATCAAAGTACATTTAATTGGACCT